TTTGTCATAAGGACTAGTGTGATTCATGCTGACACGGAGTAGTATTTTCTAGTCTCATGTACTGGAGAATTAGCATCTCGTTGGGGATGCGCTTGTTGCCGGCTTTAACGTATTTTTTCCAATTAACGCAAATATTTATATGATTTTATTCTACAAACAATTTAATAACACAGGCCTTTCAGATTTGCAAAAAGTAACAGGCAGGACTACTAATGATGGCCCCTAGAACACCATAGGCGTGGCTTTTCACGCCTCCATGAAGATCACCCCTTAAGAGCATGATGGAGAGATCCACTTTAAAAAATTCACACCCTTAAGAGGATGATTGTGAGAGCCCCACTTAAAAATCACACCCTTAAAAGGTCTTGCCATTGTTTTTAAGATACGACGAAGGCTGTATGAAAGTGCATTCTCAGTTGGCTTACTGGAAACGAGAGTTGGGCTTTAGAATGATACTCCAGTCAGGCTCGCGATCCATTGCAACTCTATGGGCAGGAAAAACTAGCCTCAGGCACGCCGTGACGCGCGGCTTTTTGATGATACCCGATCGACGACGCGTACTATATACACGGCCTGCATAGCACGCGCGACACATACACATCCACTTGCAGCGTCAAATAAAACGCACACACTGCGCTAACGTCTGACAACTCTCAAACAGTGAACTAAGCGTTGTCTATATTGTAAAGCACTAATATACAATTGGTATTAATGAAGGTACTTGTTAGTAGGCTGTTTGGACTGTAAAATGAAAATTTGGTACATTTAACCCCCTAAAATTTCTCTCAACGGTTTAGACGTTTCACAAAATCGACCCTGGGACTGCTGAATCCGCGGATTTCGCCCGGATCTGCCGCGTACGATTCTCATCCCGGTAAAATGGAGCACTATTTCAACTATAATGACACGACTTTTTGGTGCGCGATTTCAACCACTTTTTATGAGGCGCCGATGATTGCGCGCTACCATGGCGCAATTTATGCGTGCGGTGGAGCGCCCCCGAGCGCGATCGCCGCCCGCTTAAAATGAAAGCGGATCAAACAAACAAATAATTTTTAGAACAATTAAATTTTTTTTTTAACTAGGGTTAGGGTCACAATGAACCATAACAGGAGTTTCAGGACGTGAATTTGTATCACCAATGGATTTTGGGAGGCTCTGGGAAGGGGGGGAAAATTGCAGAAGTTGCTGCAAATGATGTGTACGCATACTGCGTATCTGCATATGATATCTGCGCCTAACAAAGGTGTCATACGCACGCACTTAAATGTTCACGTTTATAATTACGTAGCATAGACCTCAGATGAGCCCAGATGCTCTGCGCCTTCTTGTTAGTGCAAGTCGCGGAACTCCTCTATACATGCATTACTGTACACTGTACATGTATATTTTTAGTATTTACACATGACCTTCATGCTACGTGGACACATACATATTACTTCATATCTATTGTGTCTATATTAAAACTATTCAATATATTCACTTACAGTTACATGTGGCTTTATAATATATAAATAATAACGATCATTTATTTATTCCACGTAAATGTATATTATGCAGAGTGAACAAAAACAAAAATAAGTCATTTTGTTCTTGTTTAGTCCTGGTAGTCTCCTGTAATATAATTCTCATTGTTTGTATTTAATTTACCTAATAATATCTCTTGGAACTCAGATGTAGTAAGATTAATAGCGGGGGTCAAAAATAAAAAAAACAACAATAGATGCTACACAATCTCATTTTCCATGATATAGACGTGTTCGGTTTTAGGTGTCATTGATGAGCAATTAGATGCAGTAACAACCTTATACTATCCTGCTTAAGGTTCATTCACTTTCTTCATAGCTCTCTAAGCCAGTGTGCCTCCGATACAATTAGGGTCTAAACAGGGCAATTCGAATGAGTGCGTAAAAATCTCACTAACTTCCATCCATAATCGTACATATATACTCTTTCCTTTCATGGCAACACACTTGTTTGTCCCTGAGATGTGCGACAATGTTGATCAAACCCTCCGTATTATATCGTGTGTATTGTACAACATTAGTAAAACACGGATTAAGACTCGTTGTCTAATTTAGATGATGTGAATTTTTTCGTAAACTCATCTTATTATAATTTATACGCTACGTCTTCGATCATCACTGACGTGCAGCAGCACACACACATGCCGTGCACAGTACAACCACTAACAAATGTAATATAAATACTTCCTACAGGTAGAGTAATCTGTTATTTGTCGGAAACACTAGTTTCGTAAAGGTATAGTAATGATGAGGTGGTTGGTTGCCATGGTACGCTTCCATGGATCCACTTTTGCTCTGTGCGTCTTCATCCTCAGCCGCATCAGCATGGAGCAGGCAGTGCGGCATCTGTGGAGTGGTGGGTTCGCCCCACCGACGGCGGGGCTTGTAAGGTCGCAGGATTGGATCTGGACTCACCGAGCCACACAAGCGTCTTACTGGAAGGAAGACCTACGGGTAAATATAACGCACGCAGCGCACGCCTCACACGCACACGTACATACACACACGCGACGGCACGCACACACGGCACGCACAGCCTGTCACCGCCTGCAGGTGTTGATGAGCGAAGACGTTAAGTGCTGTTGTTTACTATGTATGTTGTTGTTCTGTCTCTCCTCTCACAGACGCTGCGAGCTACAGGTTGGACGTGTTTCAGACCTACCTATCACCGCCTGCTGTTCGTTACTATGTTTTGTATCTGTTCTCTTCCTCTCACAGACGCTTGGAGCTACGGTGGTACGTGTTTACAGACCTACTACAACGCTGCTGTTGTTACTTGTTGTTGTGTTGTATCTTGTGCTCTCCTCTCACAGACGTGGAGCTACATTGTGGACGTGTTACAGACCTACCTTACACCGCTGCTGATTGTTACTATGTTGTTCTGTATCTTGGTCTCTCCTCTCACAGACGCCTGGAGCTACAGGTGGATCGTGTTAGCAGTACCCGGCTACTACACCGCTGCTGTTGTTACTAGTCTGTTGGTATCTGTCTCTCCTCTCACAGACGCTGGAGCTACAGGTGGAACGTGTTACAGACCCTACCTACACGCTGCTGTTTTTACTATGTTGTGTTGTATCTGTCTTCTCCTCTCACAGACGCCTGGAGCTACAGGGTGGATGTGTTCACAGACCTACCTACACCGCTGCTGTTGTTAACTTAATGGTGTTGTATCTGTCCTCCTCTTCACCAGGACGTGGAGCGGAGGCGGGGAGAGGAGAGGGGTTGTGCGGCTCAGGGGGGATACAGGTGGATGTGTCAGACAATAACCTACACGCTGCCTGTTGTTACTATGTTGTTGTTGTATCTGTCTCTCCTCTCACAGACGCTGGAGCTACAGGATGACGTTTACAGACCTACCTACACGCTGCTGTTGTTACTCTCGATTGTGGGTATGTATCTGTCTCTCTCTCACAGACGCTGGAGCTACAGGCTGATGTGCTTACAGACCTACCTAACCGCTCTGCTTGTTACTATGCTTGTCTGTATCTGTCTCCTCCTCTCACAGACGCTGGAGCTACAGGTGGATGTGTTACAGACCACCTACACGCCTGCCTGTTGTTACTCTGTTGTTGTGATCTGTCTCTCCTCTCACAGACGCTGAAGCTACCAGGTGGACGTGTTTATCAGACCTACCTACACCGCTGCTGCTTTGTTACTATGGTTGCTCTTGTTGTTGTATCTCGTCTCTCTCTCACAGCTCGCGAGCCCTACAGGGCGCTCGGACGTGTTACGCACCCTACCTACAACCGCTTGCCTGTTTTACTATGTTGTTGAATCTGTCTCTCCTCTCACAGAACGCTGGAGGCTACAGGTGATGTGTTACAGACCTCCTACACCGCTGTGTTGTTACTATGTGTTTTTGTTCTGTCTCTCCTCTCACAGACGCTGAGCCTACAGGTGGACGTGTTACGACCTTCCTACACCCGCTGCTGTTGTTTACTTATGTTGTTGTATCCTCTCCTCTCTCTCACAGGACGCTGCGAGCTAGCCAGGTGATAGTGATATATACAGATCTCCCTACACCGCTGCTTCTGTTACTCTGTTGTCTCGGTATCTCGTCCTCCCTCACAGACGCTGGAGCTACAGGTGGATGTGTTGCAGGCCTACCTACGCCGCGAGAAGGAGAAAACCACAACACTATCGCAGCAGCTAGGGTGAGCACTGAGCTAGCATGCTGTAGCTATCCCACAGCTATACGTAGAAATACATATATACACACACCTATGTGTGTATATAATATGTGTGTGTGCATGGATGGATGGATGGATGGATTGATTGATCGATAGCTAGATAGATAGAGAGATGGATAGATTGAGAGATAGATGGCCAAAAGAAGTAATACAAGCATGACTATAAATTTTGATCATTTTCAAGCAAGCTTTTTGATTATCCAATGATTTAACAAAGTAATTCTATAACAAAATACAGAAAATGCTATAATAAATAAATACATATATATATATAAATATTTATTTATTTATTCATTTATGTATTCAACAATGCATGTATTTTACTATAATACTTCATAATTCCATCTCTCATTCAGCGCGACAGAATATGAGTTGGGGAAATCTCGAGCATCGCTGAAACAGTCGGAGACTGACTCACACCGACACGATGAGGAGATGGAGGAGAAGGTATACAGCTATCTATCTATCTATCTATCTATCTATCTATCTATCTATCTATCTATCTATCTATCTATCTATCTATCTATCTATCTATCTATCTATCTATCTATCTATCTATCTATCTATCTATCTATCT